ACTGTCAGAAAGTTTCTCCTTATTTCCAGGTCGAATCTCTCCTTGGTCAGTTTCCATCCATTAGTCCTTGTCTGGCCTTCGGGTGCTTTAGAAAATAGCTTGAGCCTTTCCTCCTCTCTGGGGCAGCCCCTCAAATCTTGGAAGGCTGCTCTCCTGTCTCCCCTGGTCCTTCTCTTCACTAGACTAACCAGGCCCAGTTCCTGTAACAGTTCTTCCTATGTTTTAGCCTCCAGTCACCTAATGTTTAGCGATAAGCAACTCCCAAACACACAGGCATGCTTTTTCCTAAAATAGGTTGTCGTCCTTAGGTTAGAAATCTGATCCTGTACATCCAAAATCAATCTGAATGAGCACTGGGGAATCTAAGCTGAAAGGACCACAAATCTTGAGCAATGCTAGCCACTGAAATGATGATACGTTCCTTTTAATTGTCCTTTTTTTGTCCTTCGTCCAATGGCTACTAATCGTAGTGATCAAATGCCATTTCTAGTCCAATCTTGATTTTTTTTAAAATTTAATTTGTCTTGACATTGTAGTTCTGTAGGGCTAAATTTGCCTATAAAAAGTATATGTCGGAAGCTGTTTTACGAAGCTTGGCATAATCTGCCATAATATTTGTTAAGAAGAAGGATGGAGCAGCAATAGCACTTAAGGCTTATATTACTACCCCATGGTGTTGAACAGCACTCCCTGAGCCGTTTACAGAGTCATCCTATTGCCCCCAACAATCTGGGTCCTCATTTTGTGGGCCCTGGGAAGATGGAACGCTGAGTCAACCTTGAGCCAGTCAGGATCGAACCCGTGGCAGTGCGCAGAGTCAGCCTGCAATACTGCAGTCTAAGCACTGCGCCACCACCGCTCAGTAAAATGCATCGGGCAATGACAATCTGTGGACTTCAACTCCCAGAATTCCTGAGGAAGCCATGCTGGATCAGGAATTCTGGGAGTTGAAGTCCATAGGCCATAAAGGGGACATAGTCGCCCACCCCTGGTCTATACGTAAGTAGCCCATCTTTTAAGTTTTTTTTTCCTTGAAATTTGCTGCCTTTTCAATCCCAGGAGGCTGTCAAACACCAATCCAGGATTTTCCCTTTGGCAGAGAAATAAAGCCTTTGTGTAATGTCTCTTTGTCTTCTGCTTTCCAGAGGGATAATAAATTTGACAAGAGCCATTCATCTACCTGTTTTTCGGGGCCAAAAAAAATATATATGTCATCTCCTGGACAAAATATACTATGTCATTCCACTGATCAAACCTGAAATAGTTTCCTGATCAGCCTGCTGAATTGACCACTTGAACACTTGTGCCTCAAAACCCTAGATAGCAGGGATGCTTCCTTTGAAGGAATGGCCGTAGCTTGGATGATGTAGTGGGGTTGAGGGGGTGGGCTAGATGAAGAGGGGGTGGGGGGACAAAGGGAAAGGGGTGGAGCTAAAGGAGAAGGGGTGGAGTCCCCTGCTTGATTGATTTTTTTAAAAAGAAGCCTGATGTTGGTTTGGAAGAATAGAGGTAGTCCTTGACTCCTGACGAATGTATCTTTTCTTTTATGTATACTGAGAGTATTTACACCAAGACAAATTCCTTGTGTGTCCATTCACACTTGGGCAATAACGTATTCTATTCTATTCTATTCTATTCTATTCTGTTCTATACTATTCTATTCTATTCTATTCTAATTTCCATTTCTATTTCTATTCTAATTCTATTCTATTCTATTCTATTCTGTTTTCTTCTTCTTCTTCTCTCTTCCTCCTTTTTCCTCTTCCTCTTCTTCCTCTTCTTCTTCTTCTTCTTCTTCTTCTTCTTCTTCTTCTTCTTCTTC